ATGCGGATACTGTTTCTTTCTGTGTAAGAACAGCGTCAAACTCAAATTTGGTGGAGGGGCTGGCTTTCAGCTCCCCTGGGATGTGGGTGTAGGAGAGGGATACGAACTGAAACATTCTGCTTTTCTGCAAAAACTCCCTTATTTTCCCCATTCATCCTAATCCAAATCCCACATACCTCTTTGAGCAGTGTTTTCGTGCTCTCTACCTGGGCTCTCATCTCAGGCACAGTCTCTCTCCTACTCAAACACAATGTCTGGCATTAAAGCGTGACTGGCTTTCTTTGTCTCCACCTACAATAAAAATGAGCCTGGCTCGACAGCAATAATAACGGCAACCCCTTTTCAGGTTTATAGTTTTATTACTCAAAATGCTCTTATGGTGAAAAAAAAATCGCCTTCTGGTTTTACACGCGTAATAAATATCCACATCGGGGCGCACAACTAGGAGGTTTCGGTACTGGCTGTCAGAGTGGGGGCCCTCACTCCCGCGTCTTTCCTGCTCACAGCCCGGCTCCGCAGGACACCGGTACGCAGCCCTGGCCCAGCTCCACGAGAAGCTGGTGCGCGGCCACGGCTGAGCTATATCGGGAGCTGGTACGCAGGGAGCCGGTGCGCAGAAACACGCACAAAGGTAGCAAGAAGCAATCTGGACGTACATGGTCCCGCTGGCCCATCTCCTCCCTGCCCTTCTGGAAAAAAAAAAAAGAAATAAATAATAATGTGGCAGAAGCCCCTGTGTCAAGTGCTCCGCCACTTGCAGAGGTTTTCAGGCTGGACACTGGAAACAAGATTTGGGAAATACAGCGGGAGCAAGGGAAGAGAAAGGAGGGCATGTGCACGCTCATCAGTTCTCGGCAGGAGTGAGGTTGAAGTGAAAAGCTTCCTGATGACCTCCAACATGCTACTGAAGCATGAATATAGCAGCTAATTGAGAGGCTGAGTTGATTGCCTGCACTGCACTTAGAGGCTTCAGGTTAAAAAAAAAAAAAAACAAAAAGAAGATACCTCAAGGAGATCTGGGAAATTATACGGGACACGGGCAGAGAGGGCAAGGAAATGGGAATCTGTGGCGTAAAACCTTAACTGGGACAAGCAGCAAAATGTTCAAATGTTAATTTAAAGACCAGAGCTGAAGGGCTTGCACCTCTCTGCCTGCCGAAGCCTTCACCTGCGGCTAACAGATGTAATCAAATTACAGGAGGCTGTTAAGCACTGGCAATAAACTATCCCTGGATGTACACAGGGCTGTGGAGTGTTGCTTAATAAACTGCAAAATTTCTTTCACTCTCACCTGTTTTTTTTGTAGGTTGCTGTTCATTTTCCTTCTGGAAGCGATGGTAAATGCAGCATCATCATGTCAGTGATGTATGTAAATCTTTTACCGATCCTCAGAAATTTTAACTGTCCCTGCCTCCAAATACGCCAGCCTCCCTTTAATTTCTTTGAGAAAAGACTATGTTTTAGAAAAGACAGCCAAGAATACGTTTTAGAAAAGACAGACAGTTCTGGCTTTCATTTTCCTGTTGCGTGTGTATTTGTGTGCATGCGTGTGCATGTGCATGTGTATACAGTAGTGCTAGAGCAGGTGTTCCTCGATGATGTGTTGTCACTGAAATTAATGTTTATTCTCAAAGCAGTCATTGTGCATCAGGTTCATTCATTATCCTGGAACAAAGACAGTTTCTTTCTCTAAACCGTCCTGCAGGCACGTTTGTGTGGAGCTCTAAGATGAATTTTGCAATAATCACCAGCCCGTATCTAGCAAAACCCAGTTTCAGCCACAGGCACGTTAAATACCTTTCATCCAAAGCAAACAGGTAAAAATTAACACTTAGGTCACCTCCTGGGGTTGTCATGTGACATAGCTGGTAATAGAAATACTTAATATTGTAAAAGAAAATCAATATTAAGTCCTTTAATAATGCAATGATTTTATAATATAACTATTAATAAGGAGCATCATCTTATTTTTATGTATTCTAAAGTTACAGCAGTTACACTAGTGACACTAAACCATCTTAAATATGTAACCAAAGAAATCACTGCTGAGAAACACAGATACTTCAAGCTGTCCTCAAAAGAGGACTCAGCCACTTCGGATTCTTGTGTTCCTTTGTCTGTCCTCAGTCCCTCTGTCCATGACAGTATTTATAGTGTGCGGTCACATGCTGAGGAAACTTGGACGGTATAAAGGCACAAGAATAACTATAAATGAACGAAAAATGAGCACCCCGGAGTAGCAACAATAAGAAAACCAGAAGGCTTTTGGAAAGCAGTGCATTTTATTCCCACATCTCATTCTGCAGTCTTCCGCTGATGCTATTAAAATGCCTCAGCACGAGGCAATATTTTTATTTTATTGTGCGACAGTCTCTTTTACTGAAAAAGTGGATTGCATTTGCCAAATTCCCATTTTAATTTAGGGAATTTACAGGTATAAACAGAACACAATATAATCACATTTCAACTATACATGCAAATGTACAACATTGTAACAGCAGCTTTTTTAACAGTCAAAACTGTTTGAATTTCCGCAAGTTTCTACTAACACTTCAACAACAGCAAGCGGCAAAACATTGAACTCCCCCAGGGAGAAGTCCTGCAACGAGAGTCCGGGGGGAGAGCTTTCTACAGCACGTGCCAAACACGGAGTGTACGCTACAGGATCTAAGACCGGCATCCAGGTGGTAAAAAGATCCACATTCCCTGGGGACAGAAAACACTGAACACGGTGAGGACAGATCAGAAATGTGGGTTTCTCTTCAGCCATCTGTACGATTACAATGCAGTTCAATATCGTAACGAGTTTAGTAATACAGAAACTATAAGTCATAGGCACAACCTTTTTTAGTCTAGGATGCATTTGAAAAACTAATGAAAATCCTATTATATGAGCCTACAAACAATAAATAGTGGGTTTTTTTGCAAAGATGCTGTATGGAGTTTGAGCAGAAAGTAAACATTGTATTTTGGCATATAGCCAGAATCTCTCCATACTCACAAGCTACACATAATGTGTGATGTACAGATCTCCACGCACCATCCCTCAGCTCAGCAGCTACAGGCTTTTAGCCTGAATGTCTTTATAACCATCTGCTTCAAAATTCATGGGTGATGCCAGGTCACCCAACTTCTGCACTCGCTCAAAAAACATACTGTCGCACCCGATGCCCCTGCCTGCATTTATCGACAAGAATCTAAAGCTCCCGCAGAGATCAGTTTTGCAAATATTCCCTGCTGGGTAAATTGCTCATTTTGGATTTCAGTGCTGAACGTGCTGTGAGGCTAATGCTGCCTGCTTGGCTTGAGAAGGCATTGGGCTAGGCACTGCTTGATTAGGGCTGTGGGGATAATTGATTTTCAGTTCAGTGTCTTAATTAATAATAATAATAACAACAACAATAATAACAACAACAACAAACTTGGTTTGTTTTTTCAGGAGATGACAACAACTTGTTTTAGCCTGCGGTCAAGACGGCCCGATGGTTGGGGCACCCTTTTGGGACGAGGAAGACTCACAGTCAAATCTCTTCTCTGCCTGGTTGTGAGCAAAGGTTTGACCCAAGGACCTGAAAGGGTGTCCCCAGGCTAAGAAATACTCGAACACTTGTTTCCCTGGCCTTTCCCATTAAACGTACGTAGTACAAAATATTAGCATACTCAGCTGGAGCTCCCACGGGATCACTGGAACGGCCAGGGCGGAGAGGCAGCTCTGCCCCTCGCAGCCCGCTAGGACACTCTGGGCACAGGGGAGCAGCTTCCACCAAAGCCACGGATGTCTTGGTGCCGAGGGCATCGAGCATCCTGGCTCGCAAGTGCTCGGCCGTGGGATCTGCCAGAGCACACTGCAGCTCCCTGCCTGCCTGCCTGCGCTTTCTTCCACTGCACACGCCAGCGTGGGGACAGTGAGGGCTGATACGCACAAAGCCGTGTCCCAGCATGTGGCCAGGATACAGCAAAACTGTCCTGCAAATGCACTCCTGGGAACCCCGGAGAGATGGTGGCCCCAGTTCAGCTATCAGCCTGTACTTCTGAGAGAGGGAGATGGAGAGGACTCCTAGGTTCCAGTCCAGGCTCTGATTCACTCCACTTTAGGGTACAAGGAGGGGATAGCACAAGGCACACACTGTCTCCCTAATTTTTTGATAGCCCTCCCAAATCAAATTAATACATACCAACATTTCCAAGCTCTTTTATTTGTGTCAAGCTAATATTCCCAATGCTACATGTAGTTAAAGCTCATAGAAAAACATCCTTCTTTTGCTAACCAAAGCTTCTCAAAAGTTCAGATCTGGTTCTGCTCTCATGTACACCACCACGAGACTAAAGTATTTCTACTGAAGACGCAAACCACCCAATGTAAACCAGGTCCAAGGTCCAGCCTGGCCACAGAATCGGGGAGAGTTTCAATTCTTCAGTTAAGAGGGTGATTTTACACCAATATAATTGAAGTGGCACAACCTCTAGCTCTGTTGCAATTGTATTGACACAGAGGAGCACATAAAAGTACAGTTAATAGGAGCTTATATATTGTAGGAATATATTTATATAGAGTACCTATAATAGGACAGATACAGATACGGAAGCACACCAACAGAGCCTCCGAATGGTGTTAAAATCAGAAGGCTCCAGACAGAAGCTAAGCTACAGGCCACCACTGTGTCACTGGCACTGCTGACTAGCTCGATGGCACTGATGCCCCCCATGGCGCAGGCTGCTGGGCAAGCGCCCCGTGACTTCCCCTTACCCAACTCTCTCTGTGTCCACAGCAGAGGACTCGGCACCTTTGGCTGTGGTGGGTCTAAACTGATGTACTGCAAGCAGTTGAAAGCAAGCCCAAAGCATGAGCAAACTCTGACCTGTTGTTTTTGACAATGAGGTAAAGTCATCCTACATGATTTGGAGTTGTCAGCATCGATGTGGAAATGTATGCTCTGCCTTTCCCCCTGTACAGAGAACCAGGTGTCTGTCCTCAAGCTATAGTTTTTCAAACCTGCTTTTTAAGGGTTTGGTAGCTCTTCATTTTCTATCAAATAATCCTTCTTTATATAATTAGCACCCCTCACCAACCTCCATACTCCAAGATAGGCATCCTTCAGCGAGCTCCTGTTCACTTCTTGTGTGCCGGTGGCTTTTCCCTGGACCACCAGTCCCTTGGCAGGTTTCTCAGTGCTGTCCTTCTCTTCCCCTCTGCTCTGGCTGTCCCCTGTGGCTGATCCTTCCACTGCTGCTTCCTCAGCCCCCTTCTCCTGGGAAATGGCCTCCATCGCAAACAGTGCTTGGTCTCCAGCCTGCCTTTTCCCCTCCTCTTCTCTAGCTTCTTTCTCCAGGTCCTCATAATTGCTCTGCCGTCTGGTCTCGACGTACTTGGCCACGCAGTAAATGACAGACCCCAAGGTGTTGACCACAACACCGGCTATAAATAACTTTGTGGGCTCCACATCATTGAATGCCACCATGCCCACCGTGATGGTTGCTATGCTCTTCACCACCCCTACGAAGCTGGTGGTCACAGCCGAGTTAATGTAAGTGCAATGAAGGGTGGTAAAGTTCATGGCACAGCTAATCAGGACGCAAGCGATAAAGATGCATACCATGGCAGGGTCCTTCCACCCCGGGAAGGACCAGACGTTGATGGAATCCATGCTGGCAAAGGAGCAGATGATGAGAAAAGGGGTGGCCGAAACAGCGATGGCATACTGGGCTGTCAGGGGTCCGTATTCACTATCTACACTGGTCTTCTGAATGAGCACCAGGTAGGCAGCGTGTATCAGCACGGCCAGCACGCCTGTCACATAGCCCATAGCATCCCCAGTCAGGTCACCAGCTCCTGTAAGGAGAGTCAGAGAAGGAAACAAGCATGGTTTTTGCATGTGAGACAGAAAGACAGCACTGTTTTGGGCTCAGGGGGGGGATATTTAGGAAATAGGCATCAGTGCCTTTTCTGTAACTCCTAGGATTTGTCCCACAACTGGGCACGCTTACTTCCCAACAGATATAGATATATAGATAGATAGATAGATACTTTCAAAGCTATTGAATGTCTTTTACTCTCCCCATAAATTCTGCAGCCAAAATCAGATTGTGTTCTCCCTTTTGGGAAGACACTACAGGAGATTTGCAGCTGAAACCGCACACACACACAGCAGCAACACTGGGCATCCTCTCGCCAGTGCGGGCACACGCCAGCTCGAGCTGGCCGGGCTGCCTGCCCTCCTGCCCCCCGGCCCTCCTTCTGCCATCCCAGTCCCCCCAGCAAGGCCAAGAGGTGTGGGACCCTCACAGCGAGAGCCTGCGCGCTGCACCCCCAAGTCAGGCTTCTTTGCAGATTAAGCTACTCGCCGTGTGTGTGTGTGTGCATGCATGCGTGCGTGTTGCACCTACCCTGTCAGATTGAATTTACCCCAGTAGGGCTGCAGTTGCCCCCAGAAGATTACACCTACCCCTGTAATGTTGCACCCACCTCCCATAAGACCACACCTCCCTCTATAGGGTTGTACCTTCCCTAATAGGGTTGCAATAAGGTTGCACCTGCTCCCATAGGTTTGCACCGACCCCTCTAGAGCTGCACCGACCCCCCGAAGGATGGCCCTGTCTCCCTAAGGTTGCACAGAGCCCCGCGAGGTTGTACCTGTCAGAGCGGGGCTGCATCCCCCCCGCAAGGTCGCACCTCC